ATTATTATTATGATTATTATTTTATAATATGCTGTTCTACTCCCATCAAATTTGGGTAGTAACTGAATCTAATGAGATTTATTACAACAAATGCAACTAAAAATATTTTGTTCCCTCCCAAATCTAGTGTTTTGAAGACTTTTCTCCATGATCCCCTTGTGGAATGGAGTAAACCAGTTAGAGGCAATACAAAAACCTTAGTAAATGAAACTGGAGAAATTGTCAATGAAAAGGTAAGTTGGTAAAACTCAGGTTTAAAAAGTCAAACTTTGCACCAGGACAGTAAACAAATAAAAATGGACACTATAAAATTAAGCAATATAATCTTGCTTTGAATGATAACTGAATTTATTTAAGAAGAGCAAACACAATAGGAACAGATACCTACAAGAGTTGGAAACTTTGACCTATTTGCTTTTCATCAGGTCACTCTCATATATTGATAAATGCTAGCAGTTTAACTTTTTATAAGTATTTCATTCATTAATAGTATTTAGAAATATTTAATTTTGTGATGCAGATTAATTTTTATGGTATAAATAAAAATGATACTTAAAATATTTGCTGGTCTCATTTAAATTTTATAGATTATACTTTTAATGTTTTTTAATTAGCAAAATATACATAGTTATCTTTTTTCTCCATGCCTTCAAGTCATTGTTGATTCCTGGAACAGCCTTCCAAGATTTTGGAAATGGTTTTCCATTGCCTGCTTCCTAGGGCAGAAACACAGTTACTGGCCCAGCTAGTTTTATGCCTAAGGTGTTTCCCAGTTTATAGCCCAATATCTTAGCCACTACCCCAAATCGTCTCTGATAAATCTAGAATCTTCCAAAGCACATTTTAAGCATGCTCAATCCACTGATTCTTATCAGTTTTAATGAAGAATTTAAAAAACTGAAGAATTCAAAATTAAGTTTGAAACATACTTGTTTTGAAATTGCCTATTTTCTTTAATGTCTATCAATAAAAACTAAATAATTTATGGAACTGTATCCTATTATTAATAATATAATAGGCTCTTATCATAATATATACAGCGGCTGTGATTATATTACACACATATTGGGCATGCTATGATGAACATCATTTTTCAGTTAACACTGAAATTAGAGGAATTATTGTAGCGTGAAAACAACTTTTGGGTTGTTATATGGTTAAGCTACTGTCCTCCAGACATCCATATTTTCTGATAGGAAGACTAACAGAGGTTTAACCAGCTCTTTTGACTGCTGGGATGGGGATAAAATCCTAAACTCCCCCTCCCATTTTCCTTTTCACCTTTGAATGGGAAGATGGGGGTGCATGTAAAGTCTCTTAGGTCCTGTCTGCAATGGTGTTGACCGTAATTAGTCTGTTGTTGATTTTAAGTTTTTTAATATATGTAAATTAATGTGCATGTAGGAATAATGTAAATTAAAAAAATATATCTGTCAGTAAGTGACAGTCTCCCAACATTTAAGATGGTTGGGTATGCATAAATAGTAGATGCTCCCAGTCTGACTGGGACATCCATAAGTGTTTACTAGGTAGCTGTAGGGTTCGTTCACTATACTAAACCATAAGATAGTTGGATTGGTTTAATATAATAAGTATACATTATATAGTACAGTGGTGGCGAACCTATGGCACGGGTGCCAGAGGCGGCACTCAGAGCCCTCTCTGTGGGCACGCGCGCCATCACCCCAGTCCTAGGCCTTCAGCTGGGTTTTATAAAACCTTTTCGCTTTAGGCCTCTGCCGCCATGTGCAAAAAAAAAAAGAAGGTTCAATCAGTCAATTTCAACTTCTCGCGGGAAAAAAAAGATCTTGCAAAGTTGGAATTGATTGATTGAACTTTTTAGTCCCACCCAGTCTGCCGTTACCACCGTAGCCACGCCCACCCAATGGGACACGCCCACCCAATGGGACACACCCACCCGGCACTCAATGATGCATAAGTGGGTTTTGGGTTGCAGTTTGGGCACTCAGTCTCTAAAAGGTTCGCCATCACTGATATAGTATGTACTGTAAATTGTAATTTATGGCTTAGTATATAGTACTCAGTTTTATATAATTCAATAAACCTTCAGCGAAAACTCAATCTTTTATGTGGGAAAAAGAAAGATAGAATACTTACCACTAAAAATTTAGCTTCTAGTGTATTAATGACATCTTTTTCTTATGTAGATTATTTTTTATTTTTCAGGCCAAGACTCATGTGCAAGATATAGAGCAGCGGCTGCAGGGTGTAATAAAAAACAGGAACAGGGTAAAGGGCCTACCATTGTCAATTGAAGGACATGTTCACCATCTTATTCAAGATTCAACTGATGAAAACTTGCTGTGTCAGATGTATCTTGGTTGGGCACCATATATGTGAAATGCTGCAATTTGCAGATAACATTTAAAAAAAACTTTAGTAAATTCTGCTAATGCAGATCAGTCTTTCAATGTTTATATTGTATATAAATATTGTTTCCACTGATACAGTGGAAATTGTTTATAGAATTTATTCCAATAAAAATGTTTGACTACAAAATGCATGTTATTCTGTTTATCACAATACTGTTTCCACAAGCTTAATAATACAATAATGAGAGGTCTTTGAGCTAAGAATATTAAAGAATTATTTGAATGAGAACATCACATTTTCATTCCATTATCAAATAGTTGTTGCTGTTAGCAAAGTTTTTTGGCATTCATTTGGAATCTGACTTCCAGAAATTACCGTAAATAAATTTTCTGTGTCCTCTACTTCAGCACTACTTGTGTGACATTCTTTCAGGTATCTGAAAATTAATGTCAGTCCCTACTAAAGCCTTCAGTTCTTATAGCTAAATATGTCTAGCTCCTTCAATCTGTTCATCAGATTTATAGATTTTTGTGTCCCTAATATTCTCACTGCCATGTCCCAAATTCATTTGTTTGAATCTTTAAAAAGTGGTAACCAGAGCTGGAAACAATATTTTAGATGAGATATGGTGAACACTGAAGCTAACTATATTATAACAGTCATATGCATTCATCTTTTAACAATATCATCACTAAGAGAAATTATAGAGTCGGGGTTAGAAAGAAATGGACAATAAGCACTTCGTGCAGGTATTGTAGATGCAATGTTTGTGTTCCCATGTGCCCCAAAGCACTTAAGAGAGTAAGTCTGAAGCATTGCACAACTGTATTAAAATAAGAATTGGCTTCACATCCAGTTAAACTAATTTCCTCCAGAATTTGGTTTTTAATTATGTTACTGCACTTAAGATACATTAAAATCCACAGCTGTTTCTAGCTGGTGTCTTTCCCCTAAAATAAGACTCTATAGCCCGATGGAATCAGTGAAAGGGAAAAGGAAGTTAATTCTTTCTCATGTCTCCTAGTATTCTTAAATATTCAGGGGATCTCTGAGCTCCAAATGATCTCTGGAAATCTTTGATTCACCAGATACTCGCAGTGAGCTATTTTAATTGGCCGGCTCTCTTTGCAATGGTTGTAGTTTTGGTTAACACCATCATTATTGATGTATAGATAAAGGACTGATGGATATGTTCTCCACAACCCATTTCTCATTTCCAAAGTTAGGACCAGGTCTAATGTGTGGCAGAAATGTAGGTTAAGCCACTGACAAATCTATGATGCCATTGCAGTAATAAACTCCCAAATTACCTCCAATCTCAGCAAAAAGAGATTAAAATCAGCCAGTACCAATAGTCTGAGCAAATCCATATCTGTAAAATCAAACAGCTTAGGGAGGGATGCAGTCATGCCTCTGTGAGGAGTATATAGTAGCAGGAACGCCATATTGTCCTTGAGCTGAACCTCACATGCCAGTGTTCACAATAGCCAGGACTAATCTAGCACACAACTGCCATAATACTTGTATTGCTTGAGACAGGAATAAAGCAAGACATGAACCTTCTGGACTCATCTTAGTAAGAGGGGCTTATTATTTAGCCGGCTCTGAGCAATGCCTTTTCATCCACAATTGAGTCATCAACAAGCCTGGATTTATTACCAACCTACTATTTAAAAAGCACCAACTTAAATCTGGCACGTCCAGCAATTTGGTTGCCTAACTTGGGTTAAGATTAGGAAGAGGGGTTGGAACTAGAAATGAAACAAATTAACAATCTTGCATCCCCTAGAATGGCCCAGGCACTTTCCTACCATACTACTCCATGCCTTTTCAGCTACCTCATAACCCACTCTCCCAGGTACCCAATAACCAGTTATATATGACACTCAACACCCAACCAGAGTCAGATAGTTGTGAAAACACCCATTTTCCCACCAGTTCAATAGTACAGCAACCAGCCTCACCTCCTGTTTCCCCTCTACCAATCCCTCCCCCAGCTAGGGCCAGAAAGACCCTCCCATTTCTACCTTCCTCTACTAATCAGTGTTTCTCAACCTTGACAATTTTAAGGCATGTGGACTTCAACTCCCAGAATTCCACAGCCAGCATTGCTGGCTGTGGAATTCTGGGAGTTGAAGTCCACATGCCTTAAAATTGTCAAGGTTGAGAAACACTGCGAGTCTACTTGCCGACTTCATCTCTAGTATACTGTATATTGATTGCTGCTAGCTAGGTGCCGCTTTCCTGGCATATTAAGAGAAGAACGCTTAAACGTTTCATCCCAAATCCATTTCCTATTTAGTTTGATTTTATCTCTTCGCTCCCTTGCTGCTGGTCGTCCTCTCATTCCCCTTTTTCCCAGTCCCATTATGGGCTTTTCAAGGGGATACTTTTAAAACGGTCCTCTGCCCTCCTGTGTCTACTGGCAGCGTAGGGACCGAAAAAGTTACTTTCGCCTCTTTTTTTTCTCTTCCATCATCACCTGCCACCATCGTTAACAACGGGCAACTTCGGGCGACCCAGGAGGATACCAACCCTGCAATTCTCGCGACGTCCGATAGGAAGCGTGCGCAGTCGCCGCCAGCCGCCTTTAATTTCCGACGCTGAGGCGTCCGTTCTGTTGAGGCCCGCTCTATGGTTTGGGGCCTTGGCGGAAGGAAGCGTTTTGCCCGAGAGGGAAGGTGGCAAAGGAGATTGTTTGGGTCCGAGTGGACTGCGGGAGGTAGCTAAGAGGAAGGGCAGAAGCCGGCCGCTATGGGGGTGCCGAAGTTTTACCGGTGGGTCTCGGAGCGGTATCCTTGCCTCAGCCAGGTGGTGAAGGAGCATCAGGTGAGCAGCTGCGGCTTGCGTTTCCCTGTTCTGGAGAGGGAAGCTGAGAAGGCTGCCCAGCCTTCGCACCGGGGCGATTCTCTTTTTTTCCTCGTGAGGGGCCTCTAGTGTGACGGACACGTCTGGCAATAAAGCCGCGCCTGCCTCTGGAATTGTGGCGCGGATCCCCACCTGGAAAACGCTGTGGTGGAGTTACCATTTTGGAGTCCTTTTTTTTTTTTTTTTGGCCCGGCTAAGAATTTTAGGCCGCTTAATCTCTTTCTCAGGGGAGGGGAAATTGGAGAACGGGAATGTGCCCGAGAGAAAAGCTACAACTTTCCTAACTGCCTTTAACCTTTCACCGAGAATGCCAGCTGCGGTTTCTCATTTAGAAACAAACCCGAGTCTGGCAAGAGTTTTTTTATGAAACTCCGAGCGACGTTGTAGTTTCATTTTGTGTGGAAAAAGCCGCGGAGAAGAGAGGGGCTTATTTGTAGCTGTCTGGAGCCTGGCAATTGATTTTCAGTTCGGCTTCATGATGTAGTACAGTGGTGGCGAACCTATGGCACAGGTGCCAGAGGCGGCACTCAGAGTCCTCTCTGTGGGCACGCGTGCTGTCGCCCCAGTCCTAGGCCTTCAGCTGGGTTTTATAAAACCTTTTCGCTTTAAGCCTCTGCCTCCATGTGCAAAAAACAAACAAACGTTCAATCAATCAGTCAATTTCAACTTCTTGTGGGAAAAAAAGATCTTGCAAAGTTGGAATTGATTGATTGAACTTTTTAGTCCCACCCAGTCTGTCGTTACCACCGCAGCCACGCCCACCCAATGGCCACACCCACCCAGCACCCGACGATGCATAAATGGGTTTTGGGTTGCAGTTTGGGCACTCGGTCTCTAAAAGGTTCGCCATCACTGATGTAGTAGAAAAACCTCTCCACATCATTAGAAATATTCTTTTTTTCCTTTTTAGCCCAAAGAGATTACATCTACTCTTATTAGCATTGTTTTAAAATTTAAATCGGATATATAAATCGCGTCCTGGTGTACTCTTATCTTTTTAACAGACTCGAGGAAGAACATGAGTAGATTGATGGAAATGTGCGACATGTTGGGAAAATGTAGCATTTCTCCTGCCTGTTACATTTAAAAATGCAATACAGTTTCTTTTATACTGGCCAACAACTGAAAGACATACAAAGAATTACAAAGAATAATAATAGAAGGGATTATGCTGAGAAAGAGGGAAACAATACTATAGTCCTAACTAGCACTATTACACAAGTCATCATATGAAATTCCTATTGATCCACAGTTTAGAAATAGTTTGCATTGAGTATATTTAATTGTACTAACTAAGCCATAATACTATTAATTGATTTTGGCTTAAGAGTACTGTATGAATTTAAGTGCAGTGTCATAAATTGCAATATTATCATTTATTATTTGCTTTGTAGCTTGACATTCTTTTCCTGAAGGCATTTCAGTTAAACAGTCCTGTTTGAAACCAATATAAAATGCTAAATTAAAGATAGTGCACTTTATTTCAGAGAAATATTGTTTCTAAAATAGCCCTGAAGGCCTGGGCTTGCCAACTAGCGTGGGAAACCCAAAGTGGGATGGAGCCCATTAAGTGGCTTGTTGTTGCTTGGGGAGTGGGGGTTATTGTTTTTACTCTTTTTATATTAGGTTTTTAAATTGTTTGTAAGATGCCTGGAGTCATTGAAAGTGAGTGGGCGGCCATATAAATAAATAAACAAACAAATAAATAAATATGGACCTATGTAATGCCCTTTATAAAAGTTTATGGCACTATTAAAATATGAAAGTTTAGAATTAAAGCTAATGTAATCACTACAGAATCATTGTTAATGTTAAAAAGACTTCCTTATTTTTAGCAGTTTATGTATTTTATTTTTAATCTGAAAACTTTCATGGAAGACAGGATATATGTGTCTATGGAATTTATGTGGCCTCTTATAAGCAGAGTATGTTGAATATTAGCATATGTGTTTTCCAAATATATAAAATGAAATTAGATAATGCAAGGTACAATTTTTGTAGAAGAAATATAACAAAACTTGTCTTTATAAAACAACTTCTATATTTAATGTGTTTCCTAGATTCCAGAATTTGACAACTTATATTTGGACATGAATGGCATTATTCATCAATGTTCACATCCCAATGATGACGATGTTCATTTTCGAATCTCTGAAGATAAGATCTTTGCTGATATATTTCACTATTTAGAAGTTTTGTTTCGCATTATTAAACCAAGGAAAGTTTTTTTTATGGCAGTTGATGGAGTAGCTCCAAGAGCAAAAATGAACCAGCAACGTGGCAGACGGTTTAGGTATGTACGTAAAATGGGCTTTTGATTTATTGTTTGTTTTCACTGTTTTCTTTGTACTTCCTGCAGATTGGATATAATATCCTTGTTTCTTCATATCTCTTATGATTATTCATAGGAGTGAATGTAGGATTGCTCATTCGGTGCGATCTTCTTTTTATCTGGAAAAACTATGGAACTCTAGAAATGTTTCCTGCTCTTGGTAACAAACTGACTTCCATGACCATTGGTCCAAAGGGAAACCCAAGAGGGAATAAGTGGTATTGGCTTCAACCCAATCATTCTTTACTGAAGGGAAGCCATGTGGGGAGACTGAACACAGGTCCACCGGTCCTTGCTTACTGACTATTGAACTCAGTCTGGGATGTTCAAAGTTATAGTAATGCTGAAAAATTAGGCTTACGACTGGTCTTCGAAGTTGCTACCATTGCAGTCACGTGATCATAATGCAATTGCTTGGTAACGTGCATTTACAAGAGGTGCACAGTCACATGATCTCCATTTGCAAACTTCACAGCCAACTTCTGACAAGTGAAATCAGTGGGGAATCCTGCAGGAAGTTGCAAGTTCTAGTGATATGACATCATATTTTATGACCTGCAATGATTCACTTAATGCAGGCGTGTAAAACTGCCGGCCCACGGGCTGGTTGCATCATATGGAGGCTGCACCCACCCCAGCTCCGGCAATGCAAAAAAAGTCACGATATGTCGTGACACATCACGTGATGCGGTTGAGTTTGACACCTATGACTTAATGACTGCATATGTCTGCATGGGCATGTGACATTTCAGTTTTCAACTACACTGAATCAAGTATTTTCATCCAGTCATTTTTCATGTTTTCTTGTTGTGTTAGAGCAGACATGTCAAAAACAAGGCCCGGGGGCCGGATGCGGCCCGCGAAGTGGTTTCATGTGACCCGCAAAGCCATCCTGGAAACAGTGAGGGAACGGCCCCCGCTGCCTTGGCCCTGGCCCAGGCCAGCCGGGAGCCAATGTACAATTTTGTGGTGGCCATTTATGCTGAAACACATTCAGTCTTAGCTCCATAAGCCCCCCTCCCCGCATGGCCTGAGAGGAACAGTGAGGCTCCTCCAATGGACCATGCCTTGGTACTTGCCCCGGTCCCACCCCCTTCTGCCAGAGACCCTCAGATCTGTCCCACTCCTGCCCAGGCCCCCACAGGCACCCTTGACCCGAATAATGTAGAGCTGGCCACACCCACCCAGCAGGCCACACCCACTCCATCCACGCCCACCCAGTAGGCCGCACCCACCCTGGCCACACCCACCTTGCCCCCTGAGGGCAACTGCAATGCTGATGTGGCCCTCAATGAAATTGAGTTTGACACCCCTGTGTTAGAGTATGCACCTTTTTAGAATTTCATGGCCAACTTTCCAAAATGCAAGTTAGGAAAATGGAAACCTGATATAGTTTAATTTATGTTAATGTCTGAATAAAACCAGTTTCATTTATTAAATACAATTAGTGGATAATTATGTCCTAATTGTATGTTAAATTCTGCTATATGTTATATTAGAATGACAGTTTCAGATTTCTAGGGCTGCATACAGCTCTGAACCTTCAAAATAGTTGTGCCTTTGTAAACTGTGGTATGGAAAGAGGGTAGATTGTCTATTTGGTCTTTGTCAGAAAGATTCTTTAAGTGTTTTCATCAGATAGCTGCTAAGCAATCTCCAGGCTTGCTCTCAATTCAGGGGGAGATGTTGGACTTGTTTCACAACTGCTTGGATGATCTTATCTGTCCATAGATTCAGTGTTGCCAATAATATAATAATCAATAGAAGTTGCTTAAAAATGCAGCTAAGAAAATAAACCCAAACTATTTTCCACAGAACCTAGGACCAGAAGTAATAATATTAGGAAACACTTCCTAATGATAAGATCTCCCTTTAGAGGTTGTGGGTGCTTTTGTTTCAGTAGCTTTAAAAGAGATCCTCTCGTAAGTGGTTTAAATTATTTTCTTACTCATTGCAGGGAGTTGGACTAGATAACTTTTGTGGTCTCTTCCAACTTTATAGAAAAGTTATCACAACTTAGGCTTATTCAGTTCTACAGAAGATTAACGAAACTCTTGTGACTTAGATTGTGTTTATTCCAGGGGTTCCCAACCCCCAGTCCAAATAAGCAGTGGGCAAGCGTGTGAGCATGCGAAGCTCCATTTGCGCAGGCATTGGGCATGCACACAAAACCATCCCCTCTTCCCCGCTTCTACTGCCGGTCTGCAAATCTGGAAAGGTTGGGGACCACTGTTCTATTCCATGCAACTTTATAGCTATACAGTAATGAAAATTAAATAATATAAAACTTTCATTAAATTTATTTTGCTAATGAAACTATATATGTGAGAAAGTGTTGGCATGGGTATTCTGCCTGCAAAGACTATCTGCAATCTGAAGATATTTCTACCGTAATCTCTACAGAATTGTTGTGAGATTGTAATACATAATGACATCAGATTATTTCAGCACTAAACTACAAAGTGTTGTTATAGATCAGCAAGGGAAGCAGAAGACAAAATTAAGAAGGCGTTAGAAAAAGGAGAAACTCTTCCAACTGAATCCAGATTTGATTCTAATTGCATTACACCAGGTAGGGAGTTTTGTTATTTTGCTACATTATTTTGAACTTCTTCATTTTTTATTTCTTATTTTTATGTGATTTTCAAATATATCAGAGCCGCAGAAATCAAACTAAACAGTATGGTCCCTCTGTTACAGAATGCCCTCTCTCCTACCCCTATTCCCATATCATAGTATTAAAGATCCAACATGAATTGCAGGCTATGTTTTATTCTTATTCATTGTTTACTGTTTTTTCTGTTCAATTAACTACTTCCATCTTATATTAAAACCAATTAATAAACAATTTCCCAATTTTACACATATATGGATTCTGTGTGTTTCTGAATGATCTGAAAGTTTCATACTCCACCATTACGTTCTGTCTGACTAAACTTATTTTTTTCTGACTAAGAAGATTTCTAATGGAGGAGATGTAGTCCCAGGTTTGTGAGGCTGTATTTCCTGAAATCAGAAAACAGTTGAAGTAATGTAATAGAGATGTTTATGTTTAACCTCAAAATTTGTATTATAATTGTGTACATGTTTAACATAATTTCAAATATTAGTGCTGTTGAAAATTGTGAAAAAATTTTTAAAGAAATATATGTTTCCATGATATTTAAAAAAAATATGTTTGAGATTTTAGTGAATGAATGTGTAACTGTTAGATTTCTGTTATTAGGGACAGAATTCATGGCCAAGTTGCACGAACACCTGAAGTATTTTGTAAATATGAAGATTTCCACAGACAAATCTTGGCAAGGCATAACTGTCTACTTATCAGGCCATGAGGTTACTTTTTACTTTTATAACACTTCTTAAATTAATAGTTATTAATTCAACATTTATTAATTTGTTTTTTCTTTTCATTCAGACACCAGGAGAAGGAGAACATAAAATTATGGAATTTATTAGATCAGAAAAAGCAAAGCCTGACCATGATCCAAACACAAGGCACTGTCTCTATGGTTTAGATGCTGACTTGGTACGTTCACATGTAAACATGATTTATTTGAAAACAAATAAGATTCTTGATTATAAATGCCAATAGTAATGGTGAAAGAATCTCTTTAGACTGCAAAGATTTTTTTACACACAAGATTCTTACTGGTTTGCCTTATGTTTTGTAGGGTTGTATGCATTATGCAAGCAGTTTGTTTTGTAGTATGCTATCCATTGTGGAAAGGGGCAATGTTATTCTCATGGATGTCAATGAGATCTTTTGATATCAGAGTATAATATGCTGCTAGAATAACTATTGATCATTTTTAAATGATTGATTCTATTAAATTACTTCTTTTAATAGATAATACTTGGGCTGACAAGTCATGAGCCACACTTCTCCCTTTTAAGAGAAGAGGTCAGGTTTGGTGGCAAAAAATCACAAAGGTAATCTGCTGCAAAAATTGTTAAAATGACAGCAAAGGAAGTTAAACAAAATTGCTAAATAACCAAAATCACTGTATTTATTCAGTGTTAAACATTCACATTTTAATCTATGAAATGTAACATTTTAATTAGCTTACTGAACCGTATTAATAATTTACAGAGCAAGTGCCCCAGAAGAAACCACTTTTCATCTTTTGCACTTGTCATTAATGAGAGAATATATTGACTATGAATTTTCACCAGTTAAAGTAAGTATGAGTGGACTTGCTAAAGGTTGTTGAACATTGCTAAAGGTTTACACTTTTAATTAATTAATTATTTGTGTCAACATTTATCAGGACAAGATTTCGTTTCCATATGAAATTGAAAGAATAATAGATGACTGGATTTTAATGGGCTTTCTTGTTGGAAATGATTTTATTCCTCATCTACCTCATTTTCATATTAACCATGATGCATTGCCGCTGCTTTATAGGACATACATGACTACATTGCCTGAACTTGGAGGTAAGCTATCTCACATAGTTACTGCAAGATGGTCTTGCAGTAGGCCCTGCTAGAGAGTAAAAGATAGAATGGGAAAGAAAATAATTATCATAGTCTGTACTCATGCTGGTAAATGCATTTTTTCCTTCTATTATGTAGATTGGGCCCTATAGAAAATACTGGTAGCCCTTGACTGACTATCACATTTGGCTCTGAAATCTTGATTGTCAAGCAAAGGGGACATTAAACGGCATGCCAATGTGACCCCTTCACTCAACAACTATAATCCCTGCACTCCCAAGTTGTCGTTAAGCAAGTGCCTCAGGGGATAGAGGAGCCTCTGGTAGGCTTGGCACAGACTACACATGAGCTGGAATGGTGGCTGCAGTGTGGTTCAAAGCTGCAGTTGCCCCATCCTGGTCCTGCATTTATTGGCAGAAGTGCCTGGCTTGGGCCTAAAGTAGAGGTCCGGGGCCTAGAGCAGTTTTGACCAGCTGCCACTTCTCTAGGTCTATACAACACTGAGGAAAGCCACTTAATTCCCTACACCCATTTCCCCTCTGATCTAGTCTCCCTGCGTATTGGCACATGGCTGTAGTGCTGGGCCTAAAATAAAGGACTGGCTGTGAGTCAGTTTTGGTAAAGAAGGTCTGGTGTGACAAGCTTTGGATAGGCTCGCAGGCCTTTCAACAAGAGTAGAAAAGTGCCTGAAGGTCAGCGGTATTGGGCAAGGACTACCTGTAAGGAAGCTGGCCTTAATGAACATAAGCATGTTGCCAAGGCAAAAAGAAAAAAAATAAAACATTAAGTTTAAAACATCCAGGTAACACTGGAAGCGGCTCAAATAGGCACTTTACTAATTTACTTAACTTTAAGAAGGAAGAACACTAACTTTGATGATTCTGCTGGTATATAGCTACTCTCAATTAAAATAAAAAGCCTTCTTGTGGAGCTGATTTTTTTTTTTAACCTGGTCTGCCTAGTAAATACTGATTTGCATTCACTTGTATTTCACTGGCACTGGAGGAGAAAGTGATATTGTGCACCTTTTAGCAGTACCTCCCATGCTTTTCCAATCTGATCTAAATAAGAGTGGAGGGCTGCAGTGAAAAAAAGGCATCTGTGTTTATTAGTATGCTACCCCCATTCTTCAAATGGAAGCCCCCACAATTAATTGAACAGAAGGAATGTATAGATCATTTTTTTAACAGTATCGGGCTGGAAACACAGCTCATAGTTGTAAATATAAATCATTCTTCTGTTTCTTAGGTTATATAAATGAAAGTGGGCACCTCAACTTGCTCCGTTTTGAGAAATACCTTATAAAATTGTCAGATGTAAGTATGTATTCTTTGTACTGCATAAAATTAAAGCAATAGCATTAGAATTCATTAAGAAAGGAACTTCTCAACTCAACTCTTGAAAAAGTTTTGGTTGAGTATTTTTGTAATATCTGCCTAATTGCTATCTATGGTGCTTTATACATTTCCAAGGTGCACTAGAATCTGGCTGAACTCATTCTGATATTTCATGCCTAGAACCCTCTCTCTTTTAGCTTAAGTGTAATCCAGAAAGAGGAGTCCAAATGACACCTTGTGTTAGGTGAGTGATCTGCAAGTATTCAGGGGATCAGTCTTGATGGAAAATAGTAGTATTTAAGCCAGGAGGAGTAAATCAGTGCCTTCAACTCGATTTTTGGCTAACCTGCTTCCACCTGGAGGGATGCATTAGCTGTGCCTCTGAGTGCCTGAAACAATATTTTCAAGAACTGTTTGTTAAATCTCTAGTAGCCTATAATGTGGCACCAGTTGAATACCATTGAGTATTTGAACCATGGAAACAAAGTTTCAGAGCTGCTAGTGTGCAATACCTATCCTTTGTCCAAGTGAATTTCATAATGGCTGCTGTACTTTTTGTGCTTCTGAAGTGACATAACCAATATGGGCCTTCCAAGCATCAATATTCTGGAACACTACCCCCAAATATGTAAAATCCTTCACCTTGCCTTTTTTTGTATTAACCATTTAACACTTGTAGGTTTTGTAGCACAACCCACCACTTTGTTTTTTTAATTTGATAAGCAGAGATTATGTTACCAATTATTTTATTATCTGTAAACCACCAAGAGCCCAGGAAGATTGAGGTGATAGATAAATTTCACAATAAATGAACAAACATTTGATCACAATTGGCCCTTACAGAAACTGAAATATTAGCCTCTTGACAATAGTATCTAGAAAGTTTGAAGTACCATCTTCACTGTGTATGAAGCAGACCTGTTTGCAAGATTTTTTTCCTATGTTAATTACTTATCCAATAAACTATGTTCAGCTCAAAGGAGAACCCTTATACTTGTATGATTTAATGTTTGTCATCCACATTAAGGAAAATTCCATAATTCTCCTGTGGAATAGCAACTATCTATCTGGATGAATAGAATATGCCTGCATTGCCTCTTTTAAGGCATAGCTTTGTTAGCTTGGAGGAAAATGCTCTCTTTTGAGCTGACATATAATTTGAGATTTCCATAAAGGTTACCATAATTCTTTTGATTACCTTTCAATACTTAATAGTATAACTATTTTGTTTGCTTCATCTACTGTCTTATGAATTTTTTACTATACTCTTTTTACATATAGTATTTGGTTAACTATATGTGGTCCTTTCTGTTTTTAAACTTTGACTGTAAAACAGGTTTTAAAGAAGAGAAGAAAATTGAGGGGAAAATAGGCATTCAAATCAAAATATATCTTTTTTGATACTTGATTTGGAAAGATAAAAACCTGCCTGACATTGATTCAGTTGATTTTCCAACTACTCATTGAGTAGTTATATTGTGAATCTACAGAATTCTAGAGCTTCTGTTTTTGTATGTTGGCATGACTGATGGCTTGTTCTTCCTTCCCTTTATATTAATAGTTTGATCATGAACACTTCAGTGAAATCTTTGTAGATCTAAAATGGTTTGAAAGCAAAGTTGGTAATAAATATTTAAATGAAGCAGCCGGTATTGCAGCTGAAGAATCAAAAAAACAAAAAAATCTAAAGGTTAGTATTTTGAGATAATCTATAGAAAGAAATCACTCTTACTGTTTTTTAAATGAGAAATTAATGTTCAATGCTTACTACATGTAATGATGTTTACTATATGTATTCCTAAATATATACAAGTGGCCCTTATGATACCAAGAGAAATGCCTTGAGCAAATTTGCTGAAAATACAGTCCTCCGGGAGAAGGGCGGGGTATAAATGAAATAAATCTTAAATCTAAATCTTAGAGATTAAGGAAGAGATTATGCATCATGACCAAAGGACTAAATTAACCAATGAAGCAAATTTCCATTGAATGTTAAATGTTGCTCAGTGATGAGATATTTGAGATTCTGAACTTAGGAAAAAACAGATGTACAGATTAAAAACAAGGATCTGGTATAATAGAAGTACTTCTGAGAAGCATCTGGAAATCTTGATAGATCATAGATTAAACATGAGCCAGTAATGTGCTGCAGCTGCCAAAAAAGTTAATGCAGTTTTGGACTGCATTAGCTGGTATAGTGTTAAGATCACAGGAAGTACTACCATCCCAATCCGATCATCCCTGGAATACTGTTTCCAGTTCTGGTCTCAACCATGCAAAAAGAATGCTGTGGCACTGGAAAAGGTGGAGAGAAGAGTGACATTGATGGTAAGGAGCTTGGAGGCTCAGTCCTGTAAGGAATGCTTAAAGCAGGCATGTCAAACTGCCGGCCCACGGGCCGGGTGCATCACACCAAAACCGCACCCACCCCATTGCTGGTAATGGGGAAAAAGTCACGATACGTCACACGACATCACGTGATGTCGCATGTTTGACATGCCTGGCTTAGAGGAACTTGTTATATTTGGCTTAAAGAAGAAGAGACTGGGGAGATATGATAGCTTTAATACATAAAGGGATGTTGCATATATGGATTTATTTTCCATAGCATCCCTGAGTAAGACTAAAAACAGTGCATGGAAGCTTAGCAGGGAAAGATTGATATAAGGAATTTTCTGATTACAAGAGCTATTGTGCAGCGGAACAGCCTGCCTTCTGAAGTTGTGAATTCTCCATCACTATAAAGGTTTTCAAGAAAAGACAAGAAAACCATTTCTCCAGGATGCATATGTATTCATGCATTGGGCAAGGGGTTGAATTAAATGATTTTTGAGGTCCCTTCCAACTTTATGGTTCTATAATTTATTCTCATTAAATACAAAGTGATATTTACTAAACTCTTTAAGGTTTATGTATCAGGCTTATCCAGTTGTTTTATAATTGACTGTGCATTTAGATAACAATTTTGGCAAGGTGACAGAGTGGTTTCTATCAATAGAGCAAGCAGTTTTCATTCTCACCTATTCTGTAGCATTTCCTCCTGAGGAAGACACTTAAGTATATTTTTAGAGGACCTAGTAACTACCAGGAGAAAATTAAAAGTTTTTTTTCCCCTTAAATGTAGCAAAGTCTTGAATTTCATTGCTACATATTAGTGGGGGTCTTTTTATTTTTGTATTGTTTATTTTAGTTTCAGCTGCCTGCTTATGTGAATTTAAATTGTTTTAATAATTTTTACTAAATTTTTTAGATATTATAAATTGCTCAAGAGACTTATAAATCTAATAAATTTAATTGATTAATTATTCATTTCCAAGTTGGTATGTTTGGATCTTATTGAGCTTTCTGAGTGCTTGTTGAAATAATGCTGTAAATGAACAGATTTGGAGTTTTGAATTGTTTTTGTTCTCTTCATTGTTGAAGTGTCATTCTTAATTTTGGGCTAAATTATAAGAGGAGATAATTTTTTCTTCCTCTGTTTTTCTTCAAGAACTCCAAATTGGCTCTGAAGGTAACCCAACCATCAGAAGCAATTTGTGAGATGTCCAATGATGTATTGAAAGTGCTGTTATTTAGACTTTTCCTTTCTGTAGCATTATGGTATTAATACTACTTTGTTAATTCAAAAGTATGAATTATAATGTCAACAGGCTCAGGAAAATGCTATATGCTTGGATGCTTTAGAGAAAACTGACAGTGAAAATGTAGAAGCTTCAAAAAGTAAGTTCAGAAATACTGTTCAATGCTGTTCATATTTTGATCTATAATCTATGCAGGACAGGTTACAATTATTTTGAATGTATTGCTTAATACGAACTTTTGTACTTGTTTCTTGAATTTCTGCAAAACTTAATATAGAAGATTATTCTCACATGGCAAGCAGAGCTATGTAGTTTATATTAACTTCTAATGTATGTTAAATAAGTTCCGTATATTTGCCTATGTTTTGCTGCCAGTTAGGTATTTTATATGTAGATATAAATATAAATATAGTTTATATTAACTACCTGCTACCAGTGGAAAAAAGTTTCACTGTATTAAGCCTCTTATTAGGATTTGGTACACTCCAGGAACACTAAAATTATACAAAACTCTTTTCTGTGCTTTTATTTTATCCATAATTTCATATTAGACGTTTTTATTGACATTTTTCTAATCAAATACTTGAAGATTTTTCAGGTATTTTACATAGTGTATGTGTCATGCTCTTATCAGTTAAATGGAAGTGAGATTTGCAACTCAGTTGATTGAAGAAAATTATTTTTCCAATTCAGAATCAGTAAATTCACATTTGGTACAATAGTGGTACTGCAGTATGCATTGCTTATGTGCTTTTCTGAGTTAGCTAATTAACTACTTGGTAAACATAATACTGCTGCAGGTGGACATTATATAGCCTGAATTAACAGAGCATTAATATTTTGACACATTTGATGTATACCATGTCAATTTTAAAAACTAATGCTGACTGCAGAGTTTTTGGCATATAAGTAAGTTTCAATGTCTAATAGTATGGACAGTGTTAATAATAGTTAAATAACGAGTATTATTCAATTTTGTGTCTCTTAGTGGCATTAGAAGATGAACTGGAAGATGATGGCTTGTTTGAAGCAGAATTTAGACAATACAAACGAACATATTATATGACAAAGATGGGCATAGAAGTTGTTTCAGAGTAAGTGTTAGCACTAAAGTATTATAAACGTTTGCTGTGAAAAACTTGCCAACGTACTGTAATATCTCAGCCCCTTGCTGGACATAGTTGCTTAGCTATTTTTAAATGCACAGCTTCTTACTTCTGTCCATCATGTATGTGTTTGTGGCTTTTTTTTAGTGACTTTCTGGCTGACCAGGCAAAATGTTATGTCCAGGCAATACAGTGGGTATTGCATTATTACTACCATGGTGTTCAATCCTGGAGCTGGTAAGCTAATTATTACAAAAGAAATTATAGATCAGTTTATATATTTTAATTTTTTACACTAAAAGACCCAAGAAAACCCTTCTAGTTCTTTCTCAACCTCTATCTCACTCTCAGAATTATGTTACTCAAATTATGTCACTCAAATGACATGTTTTGCAGATGTGATTTCCTACCTTCAGCTTTTTGATTGAATAAGCTCAAAATACTGATTTTTCAAACATCTAAGCACTTTGAAGAACTGAAATAATATATTATTTCCTTCTAGGTACTACCCTTTCCATTATGCACCTTATCTCTCAGATATTTGCAATATCAATGAACTTAAGATTCATTTAGATTTAGGAAAACCATTCATGCCATTTGAACAACTTCTTGCAGTACTGCCTGCAGCCAGCAAGGATTTATTACCGAAATGTTATCAGGTAGGTTGCAATATTTTGATAAGGTGTGCATTTGTATTGGTAAATTCCTTCATTTATACTCATGTGAAAAGTAACTATACTTTTGAAATGTTTGACTTTTTTGGAATATTTCAACATGCAGTTATTTGATCTTCATTTTAACATTATTGATAGATAAAAGATATATAACAAATACCATGTAGCATTTATATTTTATATTTCATTATGTAATTTAAATATAAATGCAAATTTCACATCTGGAATAAGCAAGTACACTCTTGACTTGGTTTACCCTTTGGTAGAAACAACCTTAAGTAAATATTTATTATAGCAGCCTACCAATCTCTAACATTGACTGGGAGGAATTTTTTCCCACTTTTCCATGCAGTGTTTATGTTGTTTGAAGGGTTTCTTGTATGTAAAGCCCATTTCAAGTTGTATCACAGCATCTTGATGGGATTTACATCCAAGCACTGACTTTGCCTTTCCAACCCCCCCCCCCCAATTTTCTCTTTGTTTTCCAATCCTTCCTTGGTGGATTTACTGGAATGTTTAAGATCAATGTCATTTGCAAGGTTCACTTTCAGTCGATCCTTAGTCTTCTGACAGATGATTTTGTATTATCTTCAAGCACCCTCCAATACAATGAAGAATTCATATTGGGTTTTATGATGGTAAGCTCGTCTGATGCAGCAAAATAGCCCCAAACTATACCATTTCCACTACAATTGGCATCAGGTTCTTCTGGTGAAATGCTGTGTTTGATCAGTAATATGGCAAAATAACTTCATTTTGCTTTACTTGTCCAGAACATTGTTCTAGAAGTCCCAGTCTTTGCCTAAGTGTTCATGAGCAGATTTTGGTCTTGCCCTGATTTTCTTTTTGAACAGCAAAGGTTTCCTTCTGGCACACCTGCCACGTAGATCTAATTTGTGTAGCTTCTTTCTAGTGGTAGACTCATACCCTTTGGCATGAATAGTGATGAGAGCTACCTCTAGGTCATGAATCAGTTTCTGGGGTTCTTAGCATCTTGTTTCAGTATCTTGCATTCTACTTTTTGCCTGAACTTTCTGGGACAGTCTAGACTGGGCAAGTTGACATTTGTTTGAAATCTTTTCCTTTGTAGATGAAACAAGTGGAACCATTCTAGACAGTGGAATTGTTAATGTCCACTTGTTTGGCAATCTTTTAAAATGCCCTCCCAGATACATAGGCATCTATAATCCTTCTGAAGACCTCAGAGAGCTCTTTCGGTGCAAGCATAATGATACCACACACTTCGAAAAAGAACAAATCAAACTAAATGTCTGAGGTTTAAATAAGACCTGTTCCTCCCAGATCCTCTTTAATGAGATTCTATTCATTTGCACCTGATCTAATTAATTTACACTAATTTTAGGTATTTCAGGTTGTGATAAATGTAGAGGTATACTTGCTTTTTCCATATGCAAAATTTGCATTTAGGTTTATTTAAATTACCCACTGGAGTACAAAATACAAATTATGCATGATGTTTGTTATATTGTATGTCCTTTACCAATATTGTTGAAATGAAGATCAAATATCTACATATTGAAATATCTTGAAAAAGTAAAAAGTTTCAATGAGATATACTTACTTTTTCACGTTGTATGTAGGCATATTAGTTCAGTGTTATTAATACTTAATTGATTCATATTTTGATTTGTTTGGCATTTCTGCCATATATATTTAATTTTTTATATTCGTCCTGTTTAATATGTTTAAATAATATGAATTTTCCTTTCCTATCTCTCAGCATTTAATGACTAGTGAAGAGTCTCCCATTATTGAATATTATCCCACAGAATTTAAAACTGATTTAAATGGAAAGCAACAAGAATGGGAAGCTGTAGTTTTAATCCCATTTATTGATGAGGTGAGAGCTTTATTATTTTTATTGTTATTATTTATCACATATTTCACCAGTTTTAAAAGATAATAGAAATGTGTCCTCTTGTTCTTATACCTCTCCCAAATATGCTCCTTATTTGGTATTTTCCTGTTCATTACCAATTTATCTCAGCAGATCTTAAAATTGAATGTTATTTCATACAGAAATAGGCAATCTGTACCAGAATAAATCTCATTTAATACCACAATGATTTTAATGTAATAGTCATGTATTTCAGCTGGACAAATTAGCATAAATTTAGATTAGCATATTTAATGCTAATGTGGCCTTGTAGTAACTTGTTCCTCTGATTTATAAATAAATCTGACTCTGATTCAGTCCAGTATTTTTATCATGTTTTATAAGATTCTAAAAGTATATGAATACTACATGACTACAAAATTCTGTCTTTTATTTAGAAACGATTATTAGAAGCCATGGAACCATGCAACAAATTATTGAAAGCAGAAGAAAAGCAAAGAAATAGACATAGTGAATGCTTAATGTACTTATATGATAAAGATAAAGAATTACAGTATTTATCACCATGGCCAGAAAAGTTCCTTTCCATAGAAAAGTGTCATACTAGGTAAGTCTATAGAATTCTGTTGTCAATGCAAAGGATAAATTAAAAGTGGAGACAGAAATGCACCACCTTGAACTTCTGAAGGAAACAGAATCATTTCTTATCAACTCAAATCTTGGGCTCAGTCGTGGTTATAAGTCGAGAACTACCTATACCTGCGTACGAAAGCTCTTGGCTTCAGCTTTATTGTTTTGCATTCTTCTGTTCAAAGTTGTTAACACACGCATACACACCCATAACATCAATGTCTTCATGATCATAATGATGATTAGTGGCTTATCTGCAGTTTAATTTATTTTCTTTCTTTTATGTAGGTGTGAAGCTGTGTCTATAGATGCTTGGCATGTGGATATAGCCGATAATAAAATAACTCAATTAGATACCGAGAAGTTATATTTTTGTGGCTTTCCTACTCTAAAACACATTAATCACAAGGTAAAATGTAAAATGTGATATGTATCCTTTTTCTAATGTCTAACAGAGCTGCTTTCTTTTCTCACCAGCCCTGTCCATGTCTACTTCCTCTCCCTTCATCTCCATCCAAATTTGTTTTTACTTTTCTCTCCAGCATAGCTATCTTTTCTCACAAGCTCATCTTCATTTTTCTCTTTTGCTATTTCTGCTGAAAAGACGAAAGAGAATATATGTAGTTGTACTTCTATGTTTCTGAGTGTGAGGTGGCTTGAATGGGTTTGAAACAGATGCATATGGGGTTCAGTTGGCTTGTTTACTTACTGACAGCTTGAACTAGATATAATTTCATTTTAATTATTTTAGTCATGGCCCTTACTATTTAGTGACTGATTGAAGTGTAGTTTTGGTACATAAGAATATATACATCAAAGACTATATATATATATATGCTTTGTGTATGTGTGTATGTTTGTGTGTGATGGTGAGTATAACATATTGCGTGTGTTTGTGAATGCATATATGTGTGTTCACATATATGCATTCACATGCATATATGTGAATATATGGGCATGTCCTATGCAGCAGAGGAATTTTCAGGAGTTGGGATCCCTAGCATTATTATGGTATTTCCCAGGATTTTGTTTTTTGTAATTTGAGGGGAGAGATCCTCTTTTGGAGTAAATACTGTCTTTCTTCCCTTGTCCTAGTTTGGTCTGAAAAAAAGTGGGGTGCAAGTATTTCAGCAAAGCAGTCATGGAGAAAATATGTTGCTGGAAATTATCGCTGCAGAAGATTCAGAGGAGTTGGTAAGTAGTTTTCTCAGATTTGTTTTGTAGAAATAATATTCTTTGTAGTTTGGATTTCAGTGTGCAGCCTGAGGGTTTTATACTACCTCTATTACACCACATTAATAATAAATTAATTTAATAAACATTATTAATGCATCACTTAGACAACCAGTTTGAAACATAGTAATTAAAAACTGATTGAGAGTCTGAGAGTTTATTGAGATAACTCACTGATGAAGGAGATATACTTCAATTAAGGAACACAAATTATCATTACATGATTTATCCACAGTTCTACCATATGTTAAATAAGTTCTGAGGTTAATGGACATATTATTGAATTTAAGTTAACAGTACATAACCATTGGGGATTGAAAACTTCATTTTGAATATAGTATGATGTTAATATTGTGGGGAAAATTTGGGAAGTTTGTGAATAAAAGGATCTGGCTAGAAGCTATATGGAATATAGAATGCAAATAATTAGATACACTTGTCCTGAGTACTGATTTCCTTGACTGCTGATTTATTTATAATTGAGTTGATCTTAGGAACTAGTCTTACCTGGTTTGTTCTTTTTGGAAGAAAGATGTGTTTCCACTGCGTGTACTGGTGATAACTTGGAAGGGTACAGTAACATGCTATTTTAATGCTTGTTCTGAATGTTGAACAATGATTCCTTTGTGCAGGAAATGCTACTTTTTGGACATCATCTTGTCACCAAAAAAAAGTCCACATTTTTACTTGCAGCTGGCTTAAATCTATATCTGATGTGAAAAGAAGGCAGAGGCTATGTTCACCTTGGCAGACCTGGGAATAGTCTATTTCCAAGCTACACAAAGGAGAAAATGGCCATAAAACCAGGCAACACATCAGGTTGTTAGTACTATCATTTCTACATCTAAAATCTGATGTGTTTGCC